AGCTGTAAGTACACTGTAACTAGTAAATGGGGGTTGTGAATTAGGAAAGAACAGAATGCAGTGTCTTCTACTGAAGAGCTGAGAAAGCTGCCTTCTTTCATGTGCCAGTGTAATGTTTAAATGAACTTCCTAAGTTCTCTTGTAGAAGAAAGAATCAATATATTAGTGACTGTAACACTTGGTCTTATAAACTGTATCATTACCACAGCTTTTCAGAAAATGTTGAGGAAATATTGATTGTTTCAGATCTCCCTTCTTAGATTCTCCCTTCACTTCCTTACACATGAACTGAGTTTCTGCAAACATCAGCAGGAGCCCTGAGTATATGTCTTGAGAGAGAGGTTTAGGGCTTAATAGTTTATTTTTTTAATTCTTCAGGCTGCCTGGAGATTCAAGAACAAGAATAGGGTTCATAACGTTTGACAGCACTGTTCAGTTTTACAACTTGCAAGAAGGTTTATCACAGCCTCAGATGCTGATTGTCTCAGATATTGATGGTGAGTAAAAAGAAAACGGAAGCTGAATTTTTGAGAACCTATTATTTATTTTTTTCCCAGAACCAAGCTTAGAATCTCTCAACTATTTGGTATTAGGTCAATGTTATTGAATGAGAATATTTTTTTGAAAAATAGTCTTGCACTGACTACAGAGTAGGTGATGTTTAAAATGTGAAATTCAATATTTTGAATCAGACAAGCTTTGTATAGACTGTATTGCTCTCTCTAACACATGAGTACCTGTATATAATTTACTTATCTGCAATGAATATTTAACTATAACACTCATATTATGTTTCACATGTTATGTTTCATGGTGTTTGTAGCAGTTTGCAATGAAATGTTTTGTTCTATTTTAGTATTACTTTCTTCTTTAATATTTTTTTCTGTTCTCTCCACAGATATTTTCCTACCTACACCAGATAGTTTACTTGTAAATCTCCATGAAAGCAAAGAGGTATGATTGCTCAAAATACATAATTAAATATAAGGTGTTAAATATTCAAAACACACAGATGTTCCTGTTAAACTTTGAATTCAAATGTAATCCTCATAATATGAGTTCCAATGCTAATTTTTCATTATGGAAGTATTACATGTTGTTTCATTGATACATCATAGCTTTTAAAATTACATCTTTATTTTCCTTAGTGTGTTAAAACTGAACTGAAATATTTGGTAGTGATTCTGCCACTTCAGTCATGGCTGTACAGCTTTTTAGAAACAGCAGAAAATCTCAAGCTTGCAGCATCTCATAAAACACCTTTCAATCTGTTCTGCAGCTGATAAAAGATCTATTGAATGCGTTACCAAATATGTTCACCAATACAAGAGAAACACACAGTGCATTGGGCCCTGCTCTTCAGGCTGCATTTAAACTGATGTCTCCAACGGGTGGTCGGATCTCTGTGTTTCAAACTCAGTTACCATCTTTGGGAGCTGGGCTTTTGCATTCCAGAGAGGATCCCAATCAAAGGTCAAGCACAAAGGTAAAAACTTCCCTTATTACTCATTTCAGAAGACTGAGTACTGGCCATGTCCTTCTGACTTTCATAGTTCTGCAGATTGATTTCTTGGTCTTCATTTATA